CGATTTGAATGAGCTTTGGATATGTTGTAGAGCATAAAAAAGTATTAGACCCGTATTTTTTTATCGGCTTATCTCGACGTTTAGGGGGTGAAACAGCCCCTCGAAAATAAGGGATTTTTCATTTTTTACGAATATCTTCGAAAATATCAGTTTTATGGAAAAATGTTTTAGACAAAAGTTTTATTGTTTTTTATAGTCTTCACAATGGCGTAATCACATTTTTCAACAATCTCAAATTTTTTAATTTACCCCCACCCCACCATTATTTTTAAAAAATTAAAAAAACTTTTTTAACGCAAAAGTTTAAGAGCATCAAATGACAATTATATCCATGTATATTTTTATTATGATACGACGATATGATTTTTGGGAAAATCAGATTTATAGAGGTATAGGCGTCGCGCTGTAGGTAGGTATTGCGTTAAGTAATCCTTTTCAGTTGCGATGAAATATGTCGTATGACGCATTATGCAGTGAAAAATACATTAAAGATGAGATATCACCGATATCTTTCGCAATATTGCACATTAGGTCAAAATCACGTATGAAAATGAATCAACATCAGGTCAAAGTCACGTATGAAAATGAATCAACATTAATCAATTTAAAACAGTATTGAAGTGAATTAACAATGGAAAAATAGGTTTTCTACATCATCTTGCACTATCATTCGCTCGTAGTGCGCTGAATGTAACCAATATATAATCGTCTGTAATATCGGATAGCTGGCATATCATTTTACGAAATGACATGCCAGCTATCCGAAGTGGAAAGTGGAAAGTCTTTCCACACAGTGGAAAGAACTGTGTATTGAATCTGACTATTGTATAGTGCTATTTTGTGAATATGTAAGTACTTAATTTGTTGTTATTGCTTTTTATTCTTGTTATTCTTCGGCTTAATATTATTTTTAATTCATGTACTTACACAAAGTCAATTTTGCTAATCTCTTCAGCCAGTCTTACCAGTGTTTATATACAAATAATTTTTTTATGTTTAAATTATAGAAACAAAAGCGGCGTTAGAACTAATATAAAAAGACAACTCCATTAATTGTAAAGTACGTATTATCTTTTATATAACCAAAGTTCTAAACAAATATTAAGTTTAATATTAATAACTTTTTAGATGCTGTTTAATCCATACAACGTGATAATGTTACTCTATGCAACTTTTACTTATTTGAACTTTCCACAAAATCGTCCATCAATACGACAATTGCGACGATGGGAGATCCAAATTAGTGAAGGCGGCAATAGATTAGAAAATCTTTTATAGTCATCCGATATAGTTGCTTCCACAGAACTACAGATAATTTCCTCCGGAAGATATATTTTACTATTACCTGCTTCGAATAAGTTAACCGATTCCGCTTCTGGGACCTCATATGTATTGTAAAAATCTAATGTATCTTCCTCTTCTAATTCGAATTCATTTTCGTCCTGTAGTTCCAGTAGTAAACGTTGAATTTTTTCTTTGACTTCTACTTCCTCCGAAGTTGTCGGACTTTGTGGAAAGTTCAAATAAGTAAAAGTTGCATAGAGTAACATTATCACGTTGTATGGATTAAACAGCATCTAAAAAGTTATTAATATTAAACTTAATATTTGTTTAGAACTTTGGTTATATAAAAGATAATACGTACTTTACAATTAATGGAGTTGTCTTTTTATATTAGTTCTAACGCCGCTTCTGTTTCTATAATTTAAACATAAAAAAATTATTTGTATATAAACACTGGTAAGACTGGCTGAAGAGATTAGCAAAATTGACTTTGTGTAAGTACATGAATTAAAAATAATATTAAGCCGAAGAATAACAAGAATAAAAAGCAATAACAACAAATTAAGTACTTACATATTCACAAAATAGCACTATACAATAGTCAGATTCAATACACAGTTCTTTCCACTGTCATTTTACGAAATGATATGTCAGCTATCCGATATTACAGACGCTTATATATTGGTTACATTCAGCGCACTACGAGCGAATGATAGTGCAAGATGACGTAGAAAACCTATTTTTCCATTGTTAATTCACTTCAATACTGTTTTAAATTGATTAATGTTGATTCATTTTCATACATGACTTTGCCTGATGTTGACT